GGTCCTATGGGGATAGGGATTCAGAAGGAAATTGCTTCTCCCAACCCCTTCTCCCAACCCTAAACCCTAAACCCTAAATCCTAAACCCTAAACCCTAAATCCTAAAGCCTAAACCCCAAACCCTAAAGCCATCAACCTAAAACTCTAAACCCCAATAACCTACAGTTTTATGGAATATACCTACTAATTAAGAGATACTTACTACTAAACTGTAGGTTATTGGAGCCACAGGTAAACCCCTGCCCAGCCTACCCTCTGTGAGAAGGACAGGCTCAAGTCGGATTAGAGTTTAGGGTTTAGGGCCGGATTTAGGATCAATAGTCCCCATCAATAGTCCATAGGGGTTTAGGGTTTGGCCCCTAAGGGGTTATATTGGGGTTATATAGGGATACTGGAAAATCAAATGGAAACTACTATTTAGGGTTTAGGGCTTATAGTTCCCCTCACGTAGATAGAATATGGCTTTGGGGTATATTATAATAAGATCCCCATATACCCCATATTCTATCTACTTCAGCGGGACTAAAAGCTTAGGCCCTAAACCCTAAACCCTACATCACGGCAGGGCGTGCTTTTCAATATGATGAGATGCCTCTGATTCTGGCATCGTTGTAAGGCGGATCCTAACATCTTATGTGTTGCAAGAGGGCCCATAGCCGTAATCCTTCAGCCCTAAACCGTGAGGCACTCCTCAGCGAAGCTTCAGGAGAGATACACCTCAAATCATACTAGCGGAGTAGGCTATTTTCATACCTTCTTGGAGTATGTATACATGTTGTTTACCAGAACGGCGTGCCCTTGTTTGCCCCCAAATGCTACGGCCCCTGAATGAGACTCCCAACAACGGACCTCTGGTCTTTGCAAACTCCGTTTCGTGCAGGTAGAGTTACAGGACAATGAAGGGTGAACTTTGCTTGCGGCAGTAGTCAAGTCCCCCTACAATTAACAGTCCTACGACGCCCTCATATCAAATACTCCCTGTAGCATGGCATTGAGGATCTCATTTCTTAATGCTGAGGACCTGTGTTGAAGAGTAGCTGGAAGGGATAAACCCTAAACCCTAAACCCTTAAAGGGCCACATTCTCCTGTTTGGGCATGGACTTGCCACTACCTGGTCAAGTGTAGTAAGGAACCCTTTACAGATGACGCATTCAGAATCTCTATATGTAGTTCCAGATATGAACCCCTTGCGCTCCACAATTCCTTTGTAGCCCCTGGGCCTAGGGCCTAAATCCTGAGCCTTCACACAACTTAGAGCCGTGATCAGGTTGGTGAGGAACAGGAGAGCATAGCCCGAAAGTCCAGGGACCTGCCCCAAGATCTTAATGCACCTTGTTTTGGCTGAAGTTTGCGTGGTTTAGGACTTATAGTCCCCCTTGAGTAGATAGAATATGGCTTTGGGTATAATATAATAAGATCCCCATATACCCCATATTCTATCTACCCAAGGGGGATTATCAGTTTGCGTGGTTTACCGGTTGAGGATCTTGGATTAGGGTAGTCTAAACCTTAAAACCTAAACCCTATCGGGATGCGCAGTCTCGGGTTCGGGGACCCCAAGGCTTCAAGGGGGTGGCCTTGAGAGTTGAAATCCACCGTCTACCATAGGGACCTAATTCACAATATTGTGGTTCTAGATTCCTTGTATAAATATAGTATGTGGTACCTCAAATGGACCTCAAAAGGAAATTGGTAGTTATTTAGGCTCCCATACTATAGCGCTTGCGGTGTAGAAATGGGACGTAGGGACGATCAAAACCGGTATACCAGGATCTCTCGAGGTATGTTGGGATATCATACGGATACTAAGACATGCGGGGGACTGTGGGGCTATGTATATACACATGTATATGTGCATGTGTACATGTTCAAGGGGCTCACCAAACATGTTCTCCCTTTTTCTTAAATCCCCACATTCCCACCAAATCCATTTCCAAAATTAGCACCTGATTTAGCTCCACAGCCAAAAAGCTCTAGCTCATAGCTGTGCACGATAAAACACCAAGGACAACCTATACCCTAAACTCTAAACCCCGCAAATTGAACCCTAAACCTAAACTATACTACCCGCCCCCGAAATAGTAAAGCAAAAAGACCGCTGCGCACTTGGGTGGCCGTGGTTTAGGGTTTCGGGTTTAGGGGTTTAGTGTTGTTGTTTGTAAGTTTGGGTTTAAGGCCCGTAGGGCGTAGGTTTTCTGGTCTAGGGTTTAGGAAGTTGAGTTTGGGGTGTTGGTGTTTAAAAGGTTGGTGCAATGTGGGACCAACATTCAGTCAGAAGAAGATTTTGGTGTATATTCTACTCTGAGCATGTAAGCACCAGAAGTGGATGATATTGATGCTTAATTGGGATCCTACACAGTACCTAGACCTCAATAAACTACCAGTTTCTTAGGGTTCTTAACTTGATATCTAGAAAAACCCTATGTACGAAACTAGGTACGCTAAAAAGGGGTAGGGTATGGCGGTCCAGGTAGGGTTCAGGTTGGGTATTCGGGCTTTTGCTTGCTTCCTTTCTTCAAGATAAGCAACAGCAAGTTGTAACCAGCTAGTATGGTTTAGTCGTTTGATGCTACCATCATACCTTCGTCTCTATGCATAAATACACACACTTCTGTATATGTGTATATGTATATACACATCTATTTGTATATCTATTTGTATTATACCACTTGCGTTCCGCAATGTATGTGCCTGACATTCCCTGGGCTTTGTGACAAGGAGTCACCTATTAAAGCTGATGCAGGAGCGCTGCAGGCGTTGCTTGGAATCTCAAAAAGACCCCGAGTGTCTGTGACAAGTTAAACCCTAAACCTGTGAACCCCGAAAACCTAAACCTTAAGTTGTGAGCGTTAAGATTAGTAAGAGATTAATGATTACCCCTACTCCCCCAGCCACTGACCCCTCAACGACTAAACCCTAAACCCTAGACCCTGACGAACCTCCGTGATGGCTTCTCCCTCAGTTGCTTGGGAGTCCGCACCCCGACTTATAGCCCCAAACGCTTGACTTAACTAGTTAGGTCCTATATGCCTTTTGTGAAGATTGGTCTTGAGGTTTCTCGCGCTAAGTCGTTCTAGGGCTTGTGGACGATCCTTGACATACTGGTGGTTAGCACAGACTGAAGGCATGGGTTTAGGGACTGTGACGGGGTTATATGGGAGTTCCTTAAAAAGGCAGACCCCAGAAACCCTAGCGCTATAAATATATACTGGCAGTATGAGTCATGAGGGGATTTATGGGGGTCCTTACTAGCGATTGTATAGAATTATTTTGAGAAGCTTCCTAAACCGTGACCCCTAAACCGGATTGCTTGGTGATGCCATTCCTCCGTCAGGCTGCAGACCGGTACTACGTCCTAGGACTCCTCTTAGTATTCATGACAGTTTAGGGTTAAGGGTTTACTGTGGGGTACCTCACGCATGACGACGAAACACTTCGCCCTGAAACAAGCAAAAGCCTTCATGGTAGTTTCCCCAAATAAGGGGACCCCAATATAGACCCCAAAATACTATAGTCCTTATTATGGGGACCCCAAAAAGGGCACCCCTAGTTTTGGGAACCCCCCTTATGGTTGCAAGAAACTTCATCTCGGCCCAGGGTCTGAGCTGTAGGGTTCCGCCTTTGCAGTGGCGTGCGTGATGTTTGACCACACATGCACTAGCAGTGCCTCAAAAAGACTGCTGTTGACAGTTGGCATGACAGACCGGCTCCTGACACAAATAGCCCCAAAATACCAGAATCCTGTTAGAAGGGCACCCAAGACGGGGCCCGCTAGGCCTGGCCCATCTACGTGTGACTGCGGGGATCCCGGGGGCATTTGGAGGCCCCCCTTCAATCCTAGACCTTAAACGCTAAATACTAATCTTGCTGAGACGACTAGCTATCAGGGGTTCTATTTGGAGGGGTCAGGGGCACTTAGCAAGTAGGCTACGAAAACGGAGACCTGGGCTTACGAATGGTTACTGCATAGGCTGGGGGTTATTTTAAGGGGGAAGAAGGCTTACGTACTACGCCGAACATGCAGATGCTTTGGTTTTGGTTTAGGGTTGGAAGGGTTTAGGGCTTGGGGTCGAGGGTTTTAGGTCAAACCCCTAAACCCTAAGCCCTAAACCCTCAACCCAAGGCGCTCTCTGGGACTGCTGGCTCTGGATAAGGCGCTCTCTGGGACTGCTGGCTCTGGAGAAAAGGTCCGAGAAAAAACAAATCAACCCAATACAAACTTAAGATTTCTTCGGGTGCTCTATTTCCTCCATCTCAAAATTTCAAAATTTCCAGCTCAAAGTGACCCCCGCAAACCTTAAGTAATGGCAATACGCCCTATGCCCAAAGGCTGAAGCCTTAAACCCTAAACAGGGTTGGAGTCTTACGGCTGCCAATTATTGATGGGGTTTAGGGATGCACCCGCATGGCCCGAGGGCTCAGGGGGATTTGGGTTTAGGGATTAGGGATTAGGGTTTAGGGATCAGGGTTAGGGGTTTAGGGCTTGCCTGTAGGTCAGTATATGATTCCAATGTACGTGATCCGAAGCCCCAATGTCCTAGACGTATGGACTTTGGGAGAACAGGATGCACTTTTTGTTTTTCTCAGCTGTGTGCTGGGGTATATGCCCGGAGCCTTCAATGCCCGGTTCCATTTTAGAGTTTAGAGTAGTATGTTAAGGCTTCAGGCACAATTTTTCTGTTCGCATCAAGGGTCCTAGCTGTAACTAGCAAAGTTTCAAAAGAGCCCAAACCTCACACTCAAAAAAGGAACCCCAAGCCCCAAACTCGAGCCCAAAATAAAAACACAATGAAAGTAACCCCCACACGCTGTAGATCTGTATTGTACGCGGGGCGCCTTCTCCAGTAACGCAGGGAATGCCCGTTTGCCTGGTTTAGGGATGTTTAGGGTTCA